CAATCCTGCAGCTAGATGAATAAACTTGTTGAATAAATAAATACCACAGATAAAGATGGATAATGTGATGAAAATGATTGATTCTTTTTTTTTTTTTAAGATTTTATTTATCTGTTTGACAGAGAGAGACACAGCGAGAGAGGGAACACAAGCAGGGGGAAGTGGGAGAGGGAGAAGCAGGCTTCCCGTCGAGCAGGGAGCCCAATGAGGGGCTCGATCCAGGACCCTGGGATCATGACCAGAGCTGAAGGCAGATGTTTTTTTTTTTTTTTTAAAGATTTTATTTATTTATTTGAGAGAGAGAGTGAGAGAGAGAGAGAGAGAGAGCGCACATGAGGGGGGTAGGGTCAGAGGGAGAAGCAGACTCCCCGCCGAGCAGGGAGCCCGATGTGGGACTCGATTCCGGGACTCCGGGATCACGACCCGAGCCGAAGGCAGTCGGCCAACCAACTGAGCCACCCAGGCGCCCTGAAGGCAGATGTTTAACGACTGAGCCACCCATGCACCCGAAAATGACTGATTCTTGTGCAGTCTTGCATCGTAGAAAATTTTAGGACTATAGCATCAAAGTTTTATTCAAGATTTCAAGCAATTGTCAAAATGGATGGAAAGCACTATTTTTGAGGGAGAGTCTTAGGTATATAGTCCATTTTCTACTCCAGTGCCTCTCAAGTTATCTATGGTGAATTCCCAATCTATGAGACTTTTATAAAGTGCAATAAAACTGAATTATCAAAAACATGAAATAAAAACAAAAACAAAATATAAGCCCAATTGTTTTTATTAACTTTAACATTATTCTGTTAAGTTTCTACAATATATATATATATTTTTTTTTAAGAGAGGAAGGGAGAGAGGGGAAGGGGAGACAAAGAGAGAGAATCTTAAGCAGGCTCCATGCCCAGTGTGGAGTCCAACCCTGGGCTCTGTCTCCTGATCCTGAGATCATGACCCTGAGATCCTGACCTGAGCCAAAATCAAGAGTCAGCCACTTAACCGGCTGAGCCACCCAGGTACCTCTATAGAACTTTTTAATCAGTTGTCAATGTCTATGCTAATCTCATTAAAGATCATTAACAAAGTTTGAGACCAACGTTGGTCTGAGAACTGCACTTTTGAGTAGTGTTGTTTTACTCCAACTTGAATGAATGACGAGGTCATTGGGATTGATTTATGCACTGTATCTCAAAGCTCAGTCTATCCTCTGTTATAGAAAGAAGAGTTGAAAAGTATTAAAAATAAAACAAAGCTAAGAAATAAAAGTTATAAAATTTATAAAACAGTTGAAGAATTTAGAAGTAAAATAGAAAATTATTAGAAATTAAAGTTCTCATATTGTAGAAATTAAACAGAAAACTAAGTCTCTGTGGTCATGAATATAAATTGCAGGGTGGGAAAATACCTTCCCCAGATACCTTGACTGGAGTTTGAAGGAGGTGAGAGTGGAGAAAAGTCAAATATTACCCTTGGGATGTTCCACAGGAAACAATTGGTTGTTATTTCTATTACTAGTTTGGGTTAATACAGCCTTTTTATGAAAGTGCTAGACACATTATTTCTACCACAATTAGTTTCTCCTTACTCTTCTCATTTTCCTGCCCTAAAGTGTTCTGCCTTAATGTTTTGTGCCTCATCCATTCCCACATCCTTATTCTTCTCATTATGTCTCCCCTCCCACTCCACCATTGGCATAGTGCGAAGCTATGACTAGACCTAAGTAAAAAGGGAGGAATAACAGTAGCAAAAGCTAGGGTATAGGGAATTTAATTCCCACCTTGAGCATTTAGGGAGAAGAGAATGTTCATGGGAGATATGCTATTATTTGCCTTCCTTTGACTTACCACATTACCAAGTTTTTCCCCATGTATTATGCCTTACAGCATTGGTGTATGAGAAATTCATTACTTATGCCACTTCAGGAAATGTTATTTGAAATTTGAACACAGGAGTAGACTTTTATAGCACCTTTATAGTATACTTTTATATACTTATACAAATGTATACTTTTATAGCGTATAGAAAGCAGCAGAAATACTTTTAAATCCTTCATCTAAGGGAAAGCCAACATCCTTCATACACCAAAGGAATTTAGTCATGTTTCTGAAGATGAAGAGAGATTTGGCATGTCTATGCTTATACGTGGCTGTTGGTATGTCCAAAGGCGGGTGAATATCTTACAGTGAATTTCTTCACAATATATGGCATACCATCCAATCTCAAAGGCAAGTTCAAATCTGGCCTAATTCAATTCCAGCCCTATTTCAGAGCTGAAGATTTAAACTTAAGCTCTACCTTTTTGAACCATACAAGTTCCTAGCAAAATAAATCATCCTTTATTTTGGAAGTGGTCTAGAACACTTGTTTACCTCGGTCTCCTCATCTAGCCAACACACACTTGAATTTCTAGATTAAATTGGCCTCTCAAGATTCTTCCAGCTGGGAAAGACTTGCAGTTCAATTGAATTTCTTGTCAGAACTCTGGACCTGAAATTCTAGCATTTGAGTGGCTATAAGACTGGGTTTCAGGTACGGGGACTGAGTGATGTTAGCTAAAGATGTCTGACACATAATTGTCTAATGCTCTGGCAGACCAGAGTTCCTTTCATGTTTCCCTTCCCTTTCTTCTCCTTCCTTCCTAAACTCAGCTTGCACAGCTTGTGCTGTTAGAGAGATGTTGGATTTGTAGATTAAGAGAAAGTGATTCTAGAAATAGGAAAGAATGAGGGGCAGTAGGGTTACCTGCAGCTACCTCTGTCTTCTTTTTAAGCTTTGGAATTCCAGTGGGAATTAGTCACATACTCTCATGTCTTATTAGGTTAAATTATTTTTGAGTTTTTAAAAATATACAGAGGATGGGGGATTTTAGGAACAAAATAGGTAACTACTGTTACTGGATATTAATAACTTCTCCCATGGGGTTAAACTCTTTATAAGAATAGTGAGGACTTCAACTTGTTGCTCCCCTTTCATACTACAGAAAAATGATTTCCTTCTTCTCTTACATTCTTTTACTGGCAAATTTTGGTGGTAAATAAGGAATACATTTTCGAGTTTTAGTCCTACTACTGGCTATTCCAGTTATTCCACTTGCTCTGGTTTCACAATTCAAGAAATATGGAAGTGATGCAGAGAAAAGACAACAGTGAGGCCTGATCTAGGGTATAACCGACATCAAATTCCTGACTGAACTAAATACACTCTTCCATTCCAGAAACATTAGTGGCAACTTCTAGTGCAAGTAGAGAATGGAAAGAGGGTTTATATCTATTCCTCTAACCAGCTCATAAAGTCCAGAGAATTACATAATATGAGATCATTTAGACACCTTGAAGACCAACTTGGGACTTTTCTTAACTGTTGCACAATAGCAGTCAAATTCTGAGCACCACAACTTGAGAACTGGAAATCTTGGAAAGAGTTTAAAGAGTCATAGTAATTACTAATAACCTTGACAAGTTATAGAAATGGGCAGATAATTACAGGATGAACTTAATAGACAGAAATATAGAGTAATTTAGAGGAAGAGAAAAATAAAACACTATAAATACAAAGGAGAAGGCTTGGCTTTGTGGGAAAAATGTGGGATTCAGTAAACCACCAGTAAAACATGAGTTAGCCATACGGTACAGTTGCTTTATTATTTTTTATTAATAAAAAAAAATTTGTAGAGTACATGCAAGAATATTGTATCTAAGAAAAAGGCAGTAATCCCCTAGTCATCTATACAATTATTTAGTAACCACCTATCACATGCTAGACACTTTGAGTGCTGGCATAAAATGGAGAAGACATAGGATCCCTACCTTCACGGAGCTCGCTAACGTGTGGTAAATGAGAAAGCTAGTACCTTTAATACTGTCTTTAATTTGTATTCTGTAGCCAACTTCAAGTACAGCAAACAAATACTGAGTTCCTTGAGGTAGGGATCCTATTTTTACATTTGGGATCCCATTCTGTGCCTAGCACAGCATCTTGTAAACAATCAACTTGGATTAAGGGGTAAAAATAAGCCCCCCCCAAACTAAAATTTGAAAAAGTAAACACTTGTCTGACCATCAAATCTCTTTGGCACCTAATGTTTGCGAACCTATTACGTGCAGAACAGTTCTCAACACAACGCTTTGTGTATAAAAGGGATGGTAGCAATGGACTCAAGTTGCACACGGTGATAATTGCCATGGACATTCTCCTGACCGGGCTGACAGCCCATCCTCCGCGAGTTTTTTTTCCCTTCTTTTCTCTTTTAGTCGAAAGACAAAACGCTTAAGCTGTAGCTACAGGGGTGGGACGCGGAGCTTAGACTGGGGGCACAGACACCACCAGCTCGCGCGCACGGAGCTCGCTAGGGTAGCTCCGCGGGCGCGCCTGTCCGGCTCACACCCCTGGCTTCTCAGCGCCCGGAGTCTCCGCGCGGACGAGGCGTCCCCCCAGAGGAAAGACAGGGCGCCGCAGACGCCCCTCGGAGTCACCGGCCACCCGCCCCGCCTCAGGCTCCTGTTCTTCTTGCGTTCCCATTGATCAGGCGGGTGTACGTTCCAGAGAGGCCAGTGGGGCGCGACTAGAAAACCAGGCGCTCCACGTCCCCGACCGCATCTAGTCACCCACCCACTCCAGCCCCACAGCCCAGCAGGCCAAGCAGGCCGGACGCCGAGGCCTCGCGGTAACGAGCCTCCGTCCGCCCCGCCTCCTCGCCCTCCAGCCGGCCCCGCCCTCGCACTCACCCCTCCCCCGCTCCCGCCTCACTTCCCCGGCAATCTCCTCGCGCTCCCCGGCCGCCGCCGCCGCCGCCACCGCCGCCGCCGCCGCCGCGGCCGCCGCGGCGGAGCGTTTCTCCGCGGTGCCTGGCTTCCAGCTTCGGGCCGGAACCGGAAGTCTGGGGGGCGGGGCCGGCGGAGGCCAGGGGACCGAAAACGCGGCCGAGCCCGGAGCCCGGAGCCGGAGCCAGAGCCTGGACCAGAACTTGGCCGCCGCTTGCACCGCTGCCGCCGCCGCCGCCGCCCGCTGCTCCTTCCCTGCGCCACAGCTGCTTCGGCCGGCACGGCCCCGAGCTCGGCCGCCACTGGTCCGTGGACTTTGGGTGTCCGGGTTGAAGGTCGGTCCGGACGTCGGACCCAGCTCGGTTCCCGGACTGTCCGGGCGGCAGCGGACGCCACCGCCGCCGCCTCCTCGTCGCCTCAGCCTGGCGTTTTGTTCCGAGAGACCCGAGAGGCGAGCGGAGCTGACAGTGATTTTGACAGTGATTTAAACCCGCTTTTGTTGTTGTTGGCTTTTCGTTGTTTGGTTTTGTGTGTTGTGCGTGTGTGTGGCGGTTTTCCCCCCGTGGTGCCTTTTTTTTTTTTTATTGTTGTTCTCTCTTTCCGCCCCCCCTTTTTTTTCTTTTTCTTAACCCCGTGAACGTTTTTTTGGTCGGGGCTTCCGAATATGTTTTATGACGGTTGATTTTACACCAGGAGGTTTGTCTCCGAGGAAGACCCAGTGAACTGGATATTTAGCGAGAACTTCCTACGGATTCCCCGGCGCCTCGGGAAAATGGGAGCTGCTGCAAAGTTGGCGTTTGCCGTCTTTCTTATCTCTTGTTCTTCAGGTAGGTGCATGGAGAGCGGCGCGGCGGGGCTGCTGCTTGCCGCTGCTGCCGCCGCCGCCGCTGCTGCTGGCGGCCGCGGTTGTTGTTGGCCGCGGTTGTTGTTGGGTCGGCGAGCTCCAGTGGAGCCGGGGGACGTTTTCCCCGACCCGGAGCCCCTCGGCTGCGACCCTCCAGGTCTGATTGTGATCTGGAAATCTCCATGAATTTTTCTCGTTTTGAGTTACGTTGGCGAGCTGATAAGAGTGATTGCTCTGTTGTGGAAGTGAGAAAGTCATGGTTTGTGGCCGTAACATTGGATGACAGCGCTGGTCGGGTTGCAGTTAAGCCACAAATACCACAAGTGACAATCTATGCAAAGGTTTGAGACCCGAAAGGCGTTTTCCAAAATGTCATTTAGTGTAGCATTCTCCAAAATAAGGGTGTTTTATTTTAATCGTCTTTTAATTAGTGCTTCACCAGTGACTATCACGACAGAGATCTAGCGAGTTATTACTTAATTTTGACCGTGAGAAACAATGCATCATATCAGCAATTTCATCTGGGTCTCCCCTTACGTTTTCTTCAACTTCACTGTCCAGCAGTGTTAAAAATAGTTGTAGTTGTTGTTGTTGGAGTATTAACAATAACCCAGTGCAGAAGAGGTATGCCGCTGTGTGTTGGTAATGTGCTGGCTTTCAACCACCATTTATGTGCTCTTTTCTGGCATAGATTTTGCTTACCTACGGAATACTTATTTTAAACGCGTTGTATTGAAGCATTGTTTTTGGTTTAGAGCAGCCATTTGAGATTGTTCATACTGTCAAGTACATTATAGTCATAAAATAGGTTTTGGCCCAAGGTTGGAAGAATAATTTGGTCCCTTTATATTTGAAATTTTGATTTTTGTGAGAACGTTCTATGCTTGCAACCAGTGGTTGGAAAACTGTCTGGTCTTTTGTATTTGAAATTCTGTAAATGAATACAGCCTAGCTCAAAGGTGTGCAAATGTACATAACAGGAGAGTTGGTATGATAGATGAAACAATTTTAAAGTCGCAATGGATCTGTTTATCATAAAATTAAATATTCAGTTACTAGGTTGTGAGAGAGAATTATAGGGGGGGAACGAATTGACAGGTTTCATGGCCATGTCTTTATCTCATTTGCTACAGGGAAATTAGAGGGTGTTAGTCTTTTCTTTGTGTACCTCTGTGGTGTGTGTGTGTGTGTGTGTGTGTGTGTGTCCATCCTCCCAACCCCCTCTTTTAATAGAATCTTTTGTAATGTATAGAATTTTGCTGAATGGTACATTTCCTTGTGGTTAATAAATGGATAAAGTCTAGTCTTATGTCTGTGGTGGTATTGATCAGTTCCGGGTGGGCTAAATGTGTTGTGAAATGGCGATCATTGCCAGAGATTAACCAAAGAATCATGTCTGTTTAAATGGAAGAAGGAACATGCTTAAGGCATGCTGACAGTTCTTTCTGTGCACGGTTTGGGGAGGAAGATAAACAATGGTGTCTGTGAAATGAATGAATACCTTGATACCATTAAACCTCTTGCTTTTGTGACATGACTTAACTGTGTAGTTTTTATTTTTCCGGTAGTACTCTCTCTCCTGTGTTCCTGTATGTTCTGGTTGGTGAACTCCTCTTTTTCATATCCCTTTCTCTGATCTCCTGCCCTTGAGGAGGAGGGGCATCATGGCTACTGACCAAGGAATTGTGGACATTATTCCCTCCCAAACCCACCTGAGTCACACTAATTGGTGAAGGAGGTTATTCTTGAGCAGTCTCAAGGTATTACTTCTGGAAAAGCAGGCTGTCGCTACAGATCTTACAGCTTCCTCTGCTTGGTTTAGAAGTAAAGAGAATCGAGCATTAGTTTTTTGTAGGATTGTTTTCCGTGGGCCAGGAGATTAATGGCTAAAATTTTGAAATACAGTAATTTTCTTGCTATAGAGCATATACATATATAGCACGCAGAATTACGTAAAACTGATAATAAATATTGTTGCATAGTTTTTTTTCAAATAATTCCTAGTTGAACTAAAATATAATTCTATTGAAGATAATTGAAATCATCTTAAAGACTTTAATCCATATTTCTGTATGAAGATTTTTAGTACTTAAAATATCTGATTTTTTAAAAGGCTTTTGTTATGAATCAAATGCACTCTAAAAGATTATTATATTTCTTTTCCTAATTGATTTTTCTATGTAATATGTAATCTGGCATGCTGGAAGCATCAGAATGGCTATTTTTATGAGAATTTAAAAATTTCTCAAGTTGTCGGTTTTTATTCCTGGATATTTGATTTCTTTTTTTTAAGCGAATGAAAGATGGTAGTAAAGAGCTGCTGTATTTCAGGTTTTTAGGATGGATGTTTACTGTTTTCTTTAGTATTTTGCAGACTTTGATTTTTCAGTTTCCATCCCATGGTATGTATACTGGAGGCTCTTTTTGCAGACTATTCCTGTAGGATATGGCCAAGTATGTAATTTCTTAATGTAATTCCAGGGGAAGCATTTTTGAGTTTTGCCCTCATCCTCAAATGCCTACAGATTTCTTCTGTATTTGAATTTTTTAATTCTTCTTATCCTTCCTCAAATTTTCTTTCAAAACACAAATGTATTTCTTGGATTATTTTTGTTTGTTTTTAAAGCATTGTGGTTAATTTGTATCTTTCTTCACCATTTGTTAAACTGTGAGTTTGATACTTGCTCTAGTACTTAGGTTTATCCTACCTAGAATGATGCAGCTATTGTATTTGAGTTGCACTGAATAAGTTGAGAATTTGTTTGGTTTCTGTGGGAACTGGAGCAGTTTGGTCCATATAGTTGATGAAATAAGAAATGGAAATAAAGTAATTATGTGTATTTCCTTTACTTCAGCTAGGCAATAGTGTGTGTGTGCGTGTGTTCACGCGCTCCTGTGTATGTTTCTGTGAGTATATGTGCGGTTGGAGGGAGAATTGGCAGTGCAGTGAATCTTCTGGGACTCGGCTGAACTTTGGCTAATAAGTGATAGTTATTAAATGCTTTGTTTTCTACAGGCAGAATTTCTTAAATGTAGTCCGTGATCAAATTCAAATACAATATATTCGAACATCAGACTTCTCCCCCACCAATTCTTGTTGAATTTTTTTTCTATTTATAAGCCAGTAGTTCTCAAGCTTGGGTGTCTTTTGCTCCCTGCCCCTGCACCTCTTCCCCCAGGGAACATTTGAAGACATTTTTGGTTGTCACAACTCTGGAGGACGGTATGGCTGCTGCTAATCATCCCGTAATGCACAGGACAGCCTTACACAGTAAAGAGTTATCTGGCTTAAAATGTCAATAGTCTTGAGGTTGAGAAGCCTTATTTTAAACTCTTCATTTTTAAAAGTATTAGTATATTAGTAAAAAGGTCCTGCTTCCCACTCCCACAGTCAATCATCCAAATTTTACAAGGATATGCTATTGATCTTCAGGTGACTTTGTATTGAGAGCTTTCATCTTTTCATTATCTTTTAAAATTAGAATGATTACATTAGAAAAACAGACTGTAGGTATACACATTATTTCATCTTAATGTACTTTAATAAAAATATTTTGCTGAGTTATGAATAAACTCTCCAAACCCATTGTTTTGCTATGATGGAGAGCCCATGAAAACTGTGTATTCCTGAATAGGATGAATAATTTGTCAAAGTATCAGGTTTAATTATATTTGCTTTTGATCCAGTAGTCTCTCTGCTGTGATAATCATCTTTAAGGATATTTCCTTTTATCCTTATTAAAATCATTGTCTGGACTGTGTGGTGGCAGCAGGGTTGTGTGTGTGAGAGAGAGAAAGAGGGAGATATGGATTAACATGGTGCAGGAAAGTTTTGTAAGTTTCATATGGAAGAACTATGTACACTATTACATGTCCCTGAAAGGTTTCAGAGTATAAAATCAGGTTTTTTTTTAAAGGATATTATTTCTTCTTCTTTTCTTTTAGCTAATTTTAATTTGAAGAAAGTTTTCAAGTGGTTTCCTAATTACATAATTTTCTGGAGAATCATTGGCTGGTTTTTGGTTATCATTAGACTCGTTTAGGCTATACTAATTAATATTGTATGATCTATCACAGACCCTTGTCCTTTTTAAGGTTAAAATTTGACCATAATTAATAAGTGCTTACCTTGTTTTGAACTCTGGTTTTAAGGAGGTGAACTCAGCCAGGATAAGAATTAAAGTGAAAAAGTGTAAGTAGCATTACACCATTGAAAGGAAAAATTCTGAAATCACTCCCACAAAAAGTATGCAAATAAGCCTCATATTATCTTTGTAACACACCTCTCCATACGTATATATCTCTGGTACTACTGACATCTTCACCTTTTGGGTTCACTGTTTCATAAGAAATAAAGCATAACTAAACCAAATGAGATTTTAATAATCTCTAAAGTTCTTTAGATTCTAGAACTATTTTGTTGCTCTTTTACTTTTGTAAGCAGTGTACTCTTATTTCTCATCTTCGATGTCTCAAAAATCTGTGATTATATTTGTCTTTTCATGCTCTCTTATGTTGCCACTTGACCTGCATGTTTCCTCTTAGATAGTAAGTTAGGTAAGGTTAGCAATGAATGATACTAGAGTCACTAGTACTCTTTCACTTTTTATTCCGTATGCTATAACTCATAATTTCTTCCATTGCCTTTCATTATGCTTGCCTTTCCACTTTATGCCTTCTTTGTTTATTCTTTTTTCCTTCTGTACTTCCCTGTATTGTAGCTTGCTTGTGGAACCCACTTGTTGCTTAGCATCAGAGGTAGCTCAAGAGGGCTCACACATGGTTTAAATGAAAACAGATGCAATTTAGAACGTTTGAGAATTGACCAGATAGTCTTTTCCACTGTTCTTTCATTTGTTGGTTTCTGGAATACCACACACACACTTGGGAGTAGTGTTATTCTTTTGGAATCAAATGGCTTCAACTGTAGAGTGCTCTTACACTCCGAGTGCTCTTACACTCCCCCCACCCAACTTTTTTTGA